ACTATTAAAGTCACTATCATGGGTGTGTATCTGAAAATCAATTATGTTAGCAAGGGAGTTTTGCTTTTATTACCGAGAGGCAGCATGACACAGAGCAGAGCTCCATGCCTCACCTTGGTGAGCAGGGGATGAACAATCCACCTCAGCAGGGGAAAGCAAAGTCAACTCAGGCTCTGTGACAGGGAATGCAACAGTCCAGAGATTCTCTATTCAGAAGGCCAGCTTAGATGCTAGGACCCCACTTCTGTATAGTAAACAGCCTTGATCACTCCATCCCACATCTCAAGTATCTGAGCCATTTTCTTTGGCTTCTAGCTAGGTCTTCCGAAATGAAGACAAAGCAAAAACCAAATCATGAATTTGCAATCAAAGGACAAAAGAAACCTAAGTGTATCACTGACTGAGTTCCTTTTATCTCTACAAACTAAGTTGTCAGAGGAGAGATGTCATGTCTAAGAATATATGGTTACTATTTTGGGGGTGAGGGAGAGTACCTTGTATACAGCCCGAAGAAAATGTTAAAAGAAACAAAATTGAGAAGAGTTTTTTTAAATCTACTAAATTACAGACTCTATATGAAACAGATTCTTTCCACTCCATATGTGATAGAAGACTGTATTGCTTCACACAACAACATCCCCCAAAAAACGGGGTGGGGAGAAGGGGAAAGGCGAGTGTTTACAGAGAAATAAAAACAGATGACATGGAGGAAACGAGGTTGAATGACTAGCCCAAGGTCACATGGTCAGTCTCAGGAAGACCAAGAATAGAAGGCAGGTCTGCTGACTCTCCCTGAGCTCCTAATCCTTCAGAGCTCGCTGCCTGTTTGATCACAGAACCAGCATGGGTCAGATTCACACGGATCTCAGCAGGAGCTTTTTGCCTGAAGAAGAGCCAGCTCTGAAGATGACAAATTCCACACAAGTCCCAGATATGGCTGTTACTATTAAAAAGCCATTTTCCCCTAAGTTAAAAAAAAATATCACAGAACATCTCAATAGCAAATCCAGATTTAATATTGATCTTGCTCCTCTGTCCTCCAAGCACAGGAGTTTCGGGGTCCTTCCCTCTCTGACTTCCTCCCACTAGAAAGCAGCTTTGAGGGAGCAGCATCTATTGCCACCCCCTCTCCGGGAATATACATTACTTCTCAGCGGGCTCCAGCAGCAGCTGAGGAGCTGATCTGTGAGGGAGTGAACACAAGATCTCCCGTAATAGCACACAGAAGACAGAAAATTGCTGCCAAAAGTGTAAATTGCTTTTTTTGCTTGAAAAAAAAAATCACTCTGGGCTTCAAAGACACCCTCTTAAAAGATGACTCCACGGTGGTTACCATCCATGTTGTACACATGAGACTTTCGCTCCTCCATGCCCCCCAAGGGTCCTCACCATCCATGTAGCTGTAGCACGGATCTGAGGAGTAGACCACCAGATGCAGGGGCAACAGGCAGGGAATTCTGGGGGGGGGGGGGGAGAGGAAGGCCTGGCTGCCTGCTCCCCAGGGAGTCTGAAAGGGCCCATTTTGCTGCTGACCCTGAAAGGGTGGGTGAGATGAAGAGTCATCCCTTTAGAACGACAGAGGCTGAGGAGAAGAGAGGTAGCTTGCAGAAAACAGGCCGCAGCAATTCAGTGTCAAAGCGAGGAAGCCGTCCCTGGTCAGAGAACGGGAGCAGAGGGACCGTCTGAGGCGTGTGCGGCTAGCCTCCCGGCTTCCACAGCTCTCAGGTAGGAAAGCAGGGCGCTGGTGGATGGAGGCAGATGGTCCAAATGGCGGCAGAGGGCATGCACCCCGAAGCCCGACTGGATTCACACCTTAGCTCTGCACCTTACTCCCTCTGTGATCTAGGGCAAGTTCACCCTTCTGAGCATTAATTTCCTCATTTTACAAGTGAGATAATAATCACATCACAGACTTTACATGAGGATTAAATGAGGATATATATAAAACGCTGTACACAGTAAACCTTCGATAAGCGACAGCTACAATTATTGTTATTAAATAGCAGGACAACTACACAATAAAATTCAGGGCAAAGAACAGTTAGGAGCAAAAGCACAATATTGAGACATGTCATGTCAAATGGCTTGGGGAGTCAGAATGGAAAGGAAAGAAGGCAGGGAGACCCCAGCCGAGATGGGGCACACACAGCCCTGTGACAGATCGGTTTCAACAGGAGACAGGAAACCTCCTTTGTCGCTCCCACTGTGGAGAGCAGCCCGACTTACGTGCAGACAGACAGTGGTTGTATGGAAAGAATGCCAGCAAAGGAGACACAGGTATAATCATCCAAGGAGCCTGCACAGAGCCTCCGGTTCATTGCTCTTCCGGCCCCTATAGAGGCAGACCCACACTTCCTCTCTACATCCCTCACACATCAAACTCTCATTTAATACTGCCAGCAGCACAGAATCCTTTGGAACAAGACTCCGTTTGGCTCATTGGGGTGGTAAAGTGTATATCATAAATGAGAGAAATTTCAGATCAAAGGCAATCTCCCCTGAAGTGTTAATTGAATTAACTGAGACAAATGGTAGTTTAACACAAGCTGAATGGAACCAACAGGTATAAATTTAAGTTTAAAAAGAAAACTTGACTCCCCTTTCCGCCAAATCAGAACATGTTGTGCAAGTGCTCATGGCACCACAAAAGGGTTCTGTCAAGTCCTGGTCCAACAGAACCACAACATCCGTGACAGGCTGGCTTAAGGGAGACAGCTTGACATCTGGTTGCTAGTAAACAAACTATGCTTCATGACTATCTTGTCAAAATGACATGAAGGTACCTACAATTAAACTCTACAACCAGTATCTTACACTAAATAGTATACCTGAAGTGAGTTAATCTCTTCATAAGGTCCCTGCATTCTCTTCAACATGACTCTGACATGTAGCCATCATGACAAGATGAGTGTGTTCACCCTAATCAGGCTCCTCCAATCCATATCACCTCTGCTAAGGTATTTTCATTATATTGGTCTTGTCTGAATGCTCTTTCTGGGGACGAAGAAGGTCCAGGGCTGAACTCGGCCTGGATTTTAAGGAGCTAGAGCTGGCCTTGAGAGTAGGAGATATGGAGTGCCAAGGAGATAATTTAGAGTCTGTTGAAACCAGAGGTCTATGCAAAATGGTAGAAACCTGGTCAATAACCAGGGAAGATGGGGATTTAGGCTCCTATCTCAAGACTCTAGTCTAACCAGTCTCCCAGGCTCTGGTGTTAATCCACTTCCAATTTGGGCATGCAAGGGGGACTTCCAAAACGCAAATCTATTCAGGTCAATTCCCATTTACAATTCTTTAATGCTTTCCCACAGCTTGCAAGCTAGTGCTCAAATACCTTAGGAGGCCTCTAAGGCCCTAAATGATCTGGATTCCGCTTTCTTTCCTCCACCGTTCTCTTGTCTAGAGCTTTTCCACAAACTGCTCCCTCTACCTAGAACAACCCTACCCCCTCCTCCTCCTTTGCCTGCCTTCTCATCTTTCAGAGCTCTGTTTATATGGAAACTTTTCTGGAAAGCCTTCCCTTATCCTCCAAGGCTGACTTGGGAGCCTCCCTAAAGCAGCCTAAACTTCCCTTAATCCTAGCACTTCTCCTACAGTATAAGGGCCCGATTATACGCTTGTTTCTCCCACAAGGATAGGAACCACGTCTGTCTTAGTTGTTACTGAATACCCAGGATACAGCACAGTGCCTGACACATAGTAGGTCATAAGAAAAGAAAGAGAGGGGAGGAGGTAAGGGGAGGAGGCAAGGGGAGAGGCAGGGAGGGAGGGAGGAAATAAATGAACCACAACACAGAGGGAGTCTGTTTCTGAGAATGAACGACTGGAAGAGGAATTTGAAGAAACTCCTGGAGGCTCTGCAGTTTTAAAGCCAGGGCGCCTGTGGCTTTGGCCACAGTAGACAAAGAGATCTAGGCTGAGAACCACAGTTTCCAAGCACCAGGAGAGACAGATGTGGGGCAACATGGCACCAAGGAAGAGGCTCAGGATGTGGGGATGGAACAAGAAAAAAGAAGAAACTTTGTATGTTGGTTTGTAAATGAAACCAAGAAAGGACCGAATGCTGGTTCCAGGAAGGGACCTTGGACAAGTCATTTAGGCTCTTTCAATGAGAAATCTGAACTAGATAAGTGATTTTCAAACTGAGTTCTGAGGAACCCTAGGTTTGTACATTGGAATTCTACTTAAAATCTCTTTTGAAAAAAGGGGCACTTCTTCTAGAACTAAGGCTAGCATAGCAGCAGCCTAAATGAACTTACTGCTATCCCCTAGCCTTAACAGTCCTTGTTGATCCTATGTGACACAGGGGACCCATCTGGACATAGTATTTTACTTTGCACAAAAGCTCCTTGATTGTGTTGATGGCAAAGTCGCAGCATTTCTGAGAACCCGTTCTCACCATCTGAGCAGCAGGACAGCAGAGGTAAGTAAACCAATTCCAGATTTACTGCAAGGCTGAGGCAATAATGAAACACGCTTTCAAATCTCATGTGGTGATACAGAAGTAGAAAGATCTTTTTTTTTTCTAAACAAAGTTCCGTAATATCATAGGATTCATGGTATAGGTGTCTACAGTCGGACACAAAGATGTTATACGTCAGAAATAAAGAATATTGGATCCAGAGCCCATTAAAAAAAAAAAAAAAGCAATCCAATTCCAATCAAGAAAGAACAATGCAAAAGTTTATCTAGGCAGTCCACCTGATAGCCTAATTACCATTCAAATATAGTGCCGACCCTTCTTAACAAGGTATTCTGAAGTTACTGTCATTACATACTTTAAAGTCTACCTTTATCTGAAGGCTACAGGCAGGAAATGGCATAGATAGGGAGGGAGATGGGAGTCTTACAAAATAAGATCTTCAAAGCCCTGGCTTAAGATGTTGATCCCTTTTCTGTGCTGTTCTTTGGCTGTCCATATTTCATGGGGCATTAAAAGGCCACAAATGTCACTCTCCTTCATTTCTGAGAACAGGCAAGCAGCAATAATGTGATCTTACCTGGGTCCTTCCTCGTCACCCTGAAAAGAAACAGAAAGACACAGCATTAGAAATCGGCATTGGTGGAGACAGATTTAGATTTCTCTCTTTTCCCTCTCCTCTGGCAACCTGGACACACACAGTTTGTGCATTTATTTTAACAGAGACACACCAGTAGATGTCCAAGGGCTAAGACAAGGGCTAATATAATCCTATGCTCGAACTGCCCAGCGGAGACGAGCTGATAATTTGCCCTTGCAAGCAGATAAGTGAATGCACAGACCTAGGAGGCCCAAATAATAGCCTTGCCTTTTTATTTGTATGGCTGACAGTATTTAGTTCTGAGCCAACCGAGAGCCCAAAAATAGCATCAGGTCTTAGGCAAAAGCTGACCAGCTCCAAAGGCATCAAGCTGTTTCCTTCAAAGACTCATTTCTGCCATGGTCCAGCATTTTTTCTCCAAACATGAACATAGCAACTCTAATATAGAGCACACTATGGTAGAAAAGACTCAGAAAATTGGGATTCTAGGCCAAGCTCTGTTATTTATTAGCAATGTGCCCTCGGGCAAGTTAATTAATGAATCTGGACCTTTGGTCTTCTCCTTTGTAAAAGGGTAGCTCTGGCATTTGATGAACCACAACATCTTTCAGCCCAACACTGGCTTTTCTCTTTTTCTCATCGCTGTCTGCAAAAACAGTATGTGAGGGTTATTTGTCCAGGTACTGCAGTCTCTGAACCTAACTTTACCAGCGATCAGAACAGAGTCCTTTGAGCCTCTTCTTGTGATCAAATACAATTTTTATTCTTTAATTTTTTTTTATGTCTTTATTTTATTTGGAGAGACAGAGACAGAGAGTGAGCAGGGGAGGGGCAGAAAGAAAGGGAGACAAGAATCTGAAGCAGGCTCTAGGGGCTGGAGCCTGGACCGAGACATAGACAGTGAGATCGACTGAGCCAAAGTCGGATGCTTAACCGACTGAGCCACCCAGGTGCCCCTCAAATAAAACTTATCATATGACTGTCAAATCTTTTCCAAGGGACCTCATCCTTTTGGTGACAGGGTACTTTACATGCTTCTCTTTAGCCATCAGAGTTGGTCTCAATAGAGAATCTATCTCCTAGTTGTTGGTTAACTCCCTGGGGAACTTATCAGATTGATTCTTTTTGTTGGTATAAAGAAATGAACTCTGGAGTCAGACACTCTCAAATCTTGACTCATCCACTTATTTCACCCTGGTCAAGTTACTTTGTCTCACTTAACTCTGGGTTCCTACTTTGTAAAACAGGGGTAATACAATATACATGGGGTGTGAGAATTCAATGGGGGTAATATATATGTATAAACATCAAGCATCAAGAGATAGGATGCACTTAATCAAGGTTATCAAGTTCAGTAACAATTCAGTGTGATCATTAAGAAACTACTACATGTGGGCATTGAGAGTTAAAGACAAATAACGATCCAACCTAAGAGCTCCCATTCAGGAACAGGGGAAGCAGACAGAAAGAGACAGAAAATGAACTGTGTCAAGGGCTCTACCAAAGAAATAAACAATGTTCTATGAGTCAGAAGGGAGGTGACAAACACTGTTTCTTCTGAGGAAGGGGGTAGGGAGGGCTTCACAGAGAAGGTGACATTTATATTGGCCCTTGAGGATAAGCAGGATTTCCCAGGTCGACCGCAGAAGAAGATGAGTGGGAAGGGCACCACACTAGCACAAACAAAGGCACAGCAATTTAAAAAAAGTATTTTTAAGGAACTTTGAGTTTCATGTAACTAGAGAATGGGGCTGTGTTTGTGTGTGTTTTGGGCAAGGGAGGGGGGGTGGAGGACGGGAAGGTTGGGAGTGCAACTGAGGTAAAGGGGGATTGCCAGGCACAGGCCGAAAAGGATAGCTATAGCCAGATAGGTGATGTAAGTCAGATTATACACTGGAGGCTGGATAAGGAGGGCATTTTTAGCAGACTGCTTCGGATTTGCAGTCTTGGTCGGGCGCTCATCATCCCCATGCTAACAAGAGAGAAGTGGGGCGAGCAGTGAACAGAGGGCATAAGGATGGCAGAAGATTTCTTTGCATTATGATCGACTGGAACGTCTTATGGGAACTATAATCTGATAAGAAGAAAATTCATAGAATTTAAACTTAATATGAGTTACATAACTATCAATGACTTAATTAAACCTCAACATAATTTTTCAATTATCTTTGGATGTTCAAACATAATTGTCTAGGAGAATCATTTGGAAAAAAGTAGCCAAAGTTTCTCCCGTTATTTAGAGGGAGTCCTCCTCACAAGCCTATATCCTGGTGTAGCAGTTACGAGATGGGCTTTCTTAAGAGAAACCTGGTCTCAAACCCAGGCTCGTCAATCCCAACAGTAAGGCTTTTGGCAATATGCCTTAACTTCCAAGGTTCCATTCCCTGCTCTACACATGGAGATCCTAATTCTTACCTCACAGGGTGGCAATACGGGTTAAAATAAATGAGAAAACATGCAGAACACTAAGCAAATGTCTGGTACATTATAAATGTTTGACAAATGGTGCCCATTATTGTACTTTCCCTGAACTGATTAATAACATCTCTAGGGAGAGTGGGGAAGCACAGAGAAGATGGGGCACAAGATGCTTTTACATTCATTCATTTCTGCTGCTTCTCAGAAGCAAGAATCACTCACAAAGCATGGGAGAAGACCAGGTGAGTTTCAACTGTGCAAGGAATGAACAAATGAAAGAACACACACACACACACACTCACGGCAATTTTTAATAGGTCAGCAGACACCCAGAAGTTTGCTAATCTTCCATGTAAGGGTGTGCATGCTAGTCGCTCCTATTCTGAACACTTAATTCCTATCCACCCTTGAAGATCAAGCCTCACTGGGAAATTTTTCCTCACTGACAGATTGAGTGAGGTCATTCTAACTGTGTCTTCCACATCTGTATGGCTCATACTTCTGGGCTGGTCCTTCCAGCAGAAAGCCGTGACGGTACCATACAGTTGCTCCCTCTTTAGATTTCAACTCCTTGAGACAAAAACTGTGTATTGTTAATCTCTTTATTCACTGCACCTAACACAGCATGAGGCACATAATAATTATTCAAGAATCAAAAGGAGGGAAGGCAAGATATAAATAGGAATTAAGATTAATTTCTACCCCCATGGCGAGTGAATTTTGGTGTCAGAGAGTATTAGAACTGAGAGTTTGCTAAACAACAGCTTCTATGTGAATGACTTGTTAGATTAAGCAGTGCTCTCCAATCCCTCCATCAAATATCCTATATGTTCTTGGCTGGTCAGCTACTTTCTAGTATCTACCACCTTTTGTTTCTACTTCCACCAGTGGAAATGTATGTTCACCAAGAATCAAGCAAATTTATGTCCTGTTTATGGCGGTTGAACTTGTAATGATGACAACACATTTTACCAAATAACAAAAAGTGACTGAAGGAGAGTACTGCTGCCCACATGAAAACTAAGTTGAATGAAGATGAGTTACTTAAAAACTGCTGTCAACTTTGATGTAAGTGAGACACATATAAAATATTAGAAGAAATAAAATATAAAAGTCTAGGATTCTACATTCAGCTTGCTTCAAATGTTATCCTGAAATTGGACCTTATAAACAGTACAGTGTGGATGTGGTTTATGCCAGGAACATGACTTTCTATTCCAAACGACAAACCCATATTCTCAAAGAAAAGATCTTAACTCACAATCAAAGAAATAAACAGACCTCATTTCAAGTTTAAAATTAATGTTTAGGGTATGAACATAGCATTTTTAGTTATTTGTTCATTTGAGCTTTTCCTAAAATTATCTCACATAGCTCAGTACTCTTCTCTCAAAACTAGACAGTTTTATTTGAACATCATGAGTACATCCATCTTCTCTCAAAACTAGACAAAAGATGGGAGTGCTCATGACGTGCAAATAAAATAAAGATACACCATTTTTTTAGTACTTGACTTTGGCAAATAGGTTTATAACATTCAGGCCCAAAAATGAGATGAATGGTGATGAAAATGTACCCTGATATAACTGTTCTGTGGACAGTTTACAAATATGTACAAGAGCCTAAAAATGCCCATACTTTTGACTCAGTAATTACTTATGACTTATGCCCTGTGATGTAATAATTGGTAGTGAGAAGTCAGAAGTAACCTAAAATTAAGTAAAAGTTAAGTTTGTATCATTGATTCAAGATTCAAACATTATGTTTATGAAGGATTTCTAATAATATACTGTTAAGAAAAAATAGCATGAGGGGATGAATATGTTAACCAACTTTATTGTGGTAATACCATTCTGCAATATATACATGTATTAAATCATGACACTGTACACCTGAAACTTACATATATGTCTATTTCATCTCAATAAAGCTGGGGGAGAAACACACAAAAAAAGAAGAGAAAAAGAAAAAATATCCATTGATAACTACTAATTTATTTTCTTCTCTATAAGTTTTTACTATTCTATAGTGATTAAGAAGGAAATAACTTTAGTTAGTTATTTGAAGAGGGAAAAGAGCACATCCCATTAGAACTATAGGAGTGGGACGGAAACTCCTCCCGTACCCTATATTCTATAAGAGGACCCAAATGATTTATTAGAAATGCATTTTTAAAAAGAAATGTCATTAGGAAACCTGTAATCTCTGGACTTCTTCAACCAGAAGCTCTGCGATTCTACTTCACCTAATCAAATTGATCCTACTGAAGATTTCTTAAAACAGGCACACTGTGTTAATGGAATGGTTTTAAAATAATCTTCATAAATCAAAGGCAAATAGCACTTGAGTAGGTGGAATATTTACAATCTTTTGTTTTTAACAGCTTTATTGACGTGTAATTTATCATACCATAAAATTACCTGTTTTAAGTGTATATTCAATGATTTTAAATTTATAGTTATGCAACTATTATCACAAACTTGCTTAAAAACTAGATATATACAGATATAAAATTATTTTATTTTCCTTAATTAAAAAATATTTATTTTGGGAGAGAGAGAAAATGTGTGAGTGGGGGAGA